AGATAAGGTGCAATCGTAGATATTGTATGTCAGTGGCGGGCTAGTGTCCTGCGCGACGCCTTAAGCCAGTAAGCTAAAGGCTTCAACACCCAACTTGAGGAACAGCACCTATGAAATCGCGCCTTGAGACCACGCGAGGTATTGGCTGGATTGTCTGGATCGAGACTTCAAAGAACGAGGCTCAGCAACTCACGTGTTAATATGTAATTTCACCAAAACTATAGTACCCACAAAGAATATTTAAATCCAGCTACGGATTTTTTGCAGGCTTTGTGTAGGCTGACCACCCACAAATAAGCTCTTCCCATACCCGTAAGTTATATCGGATACCCACCGGATCAATATTGCCGTCATACTTGCAACCCAACAGTCAGGATTTTGTTGCAAGCTTCATGTATATGATAGGGGAGTTTAAGCTGCCAATGAGAAAGAGTTTAGCTCCTCTATTTTCTTAACACCCAGTGCCCGCCATCATGCCGATGAGCGACAGTAATGCCAGCTCTGTAGACTTTGATCATCTTTTCGAGTTCCTTATTCTCGGGCCTGTTAACACCTTCGCTATGTGTGTATCTCATAGGTAGAATATGGGGGTCCATGTACTACATGTAGATACATGTAATACACAGAGCTACATACCTACATGTATAGTATCTACCAAGCCCATGCATGTCGCCCCCACCTGTGCCGTTGGTGATTTTGATCGCAAGCAACTAACCAAAAGCAATGTAGAATAGCGGTATTCTAGACTACATGTATGTACTTTGTATCTACTCTAGGTACATGGGTTAGAAGGAGACGTTTTGACTTGAGCCGCAGGACGTTAGTGGTAAACCAAAATATAATTTCGTCGCGTGCCACGACAGCCGCCCTTTGAACACAACTTACGCAAATCACGCAGCACAACTCCACTGGGCAGTCCGCCACAAAAAGGAATGAAGATTTGATTCTCCGTGCGTATGTATTTGACACTTTGAATCTGCCGGGTAGAGTTGTACTACAACTCGTACTTTAGAGCCCACCCAGAGTATTACCAGAGCACATACAATATTTTGCTCTAGGCGCGAGTCCTTGCGCCGCGTTGATGCTTGGTGACCCCTACATACGGGTAAATAATCATGTTAACATGAGGTATTGATTAGTTAGTTTTCAGATAACAGGGGGGTTTTGATCCCCATGTCAGCTTAAAGCTCTACACCCTAGTGATGGGATATACAGATCGATCAGCAAATACAGCCAAATAATATCTCGATTTCTCTCCCTTCAGTCTGTCATCGGCGGCCGTGATGCTCCTGGTTAGGTTGTAGTCTAGATAACGTTAACATTATGTCGTTATACCTTATCTTGCACGATCTAGTTTTAGAGTATTTACAGGCAGCAGGGTATTTCAAATGGGACGAAACCCAGCAAATAAATTTCAAAGGTCACATGAAATATTGATCATCAGGGCCCCCAAACTAAATCAACTCGGTGGGGAAGTGCGGGGAATATACACGCTAGACAATATGCCAAGCCTTTTGATAGCACCTTCGCTCCGTCTTACCTTACTTGCAACAACCACATACCGCCAAATCTCGGAGGGTTGCCAAGGCCACCTGCTAAACCACATCTAGTTTATATCCTGCAGAAGAGGGCTGTTTTTTCCCTTAGCAACCCTCCGAATAACTCGAGATTTAGCGGTACACGTAACGCAGTCTACAAAAACGCAGTTTACAAGAAGTACTCTCAAAATATCAAATATGAATGCCTCAGGAAGGTTAGAGAGACTTACATACCTAGAGACGAATACCATACACGATTTTAGAGACCTTCAACCTGGCATCAAACAACTTTAAAAAGTTTAAAGGGGAGTCCCGGTGAAACCTACATTATGTGGGTCGACGTCTGCCCAGATGAGCGGTTCAAGGCGCTCCTGGATCCAATTATTAGTTTCGCCGATCCTTTGTGAGAAAAAGAAAAGAAAGGAATGTCAGTCACGCATATTCCAGTATATTATGCGTTTTTGTGTGTAACATGTGTGGGACAGTTCCATACACCGTGCACCATACACAAAAAAGAAATTTAAATATATCCTTAGTTTTATGCCCCCCCCGATGGACATTGATAATAAGCCCAAGTTCCAGGGTGCACGAAGACTCCCCCTATGTCTCTTTCAGTTGATACCAACGGATCCTCCTCGCGAGTGATATACTATGACCCAAGCAGGTCGGGTTTGTTGTACAGACCCACTGAAGACACCCCGTAGAATTTCGCAGGTAGCTATAAATATTTATATTAAGATGTTGATGCTTAGACTAAATCCTCAAATATACTGGGAACTACCAACTAGATATTATGTTTCTCTTACACTTTAACAAAATTGAGCGGAGAGTGGATATAGCGCCTGGCACCAGTTAAGATGTTTGATAATTTTAAGAGCATGGATTACATCTATTTACTTATTAAGCTAGCTGTGGCTTTGATATGAAAAAGGGAGGGTTACATTGATTGGATACATGTACAGTCGCATGCATCAAGTCCTCGCCGTTCATGATGCAACACCCAACCTCAATACTCGTTACTCAACCACAAGTGAAGATATTTAATAGAGAATACATAGTAGAGTTAAATAGAATATAAAGAAAATGATTTTGAGACTACCATTCCATGTGCCCTCCATTGACTTTGAGACATGCCTCAACCCTTAATGGCAATCCATCTAGCTTTGATTGAGACAATGCCCCCCACTCCTCTTGTGCAGCGATAAAAGGTTCATCATCATGATGAGGTCTTCTCTATCTATAGCTTCATCGCCTTTTTAGTTCACTCTTGAGCATTTTCCATGAATTCTCTATGGCGTTGAAATCTGGTGATCCAGTAGGCCAATCCTCCTCCTAACTGGACAGTTTGTATTTTTATTTATCTGTACAGTATTTCGGCCCATTTTATGGAGAATAACAACAGCTTGCCACTTGTCATATCTTGAAACCTTTGCAGAATTCGTGGTGGAGTTGTTATGGTTTGACTCACCATCAAAAAACGGCGGGAACTTGTTGCATGCGACTGTACATACAAGTAGGTAGGTTACATATAAGTCTATTGAAGTAGTATAATCTTCATTATCGGTACTAGGAAAAGTTTCTATTAGTTTAATTTGCTAAGAAGTAGACAAATAACCTTTCTAGGTGCATGTAGTTAGGGCTGGCCGTTTCTATCGATCGAGTAATAAATCGTTTACTATATCGTGTAGGGTATTCCCATCCCGGGAACTTTACTTAATGAATTATCGGTCAATCAATGCCCGGAACTCTATGTGTACTGAATAGAGAGCGAGTGATGACTTGTGATCGTATTCTACCTACGAAATTTTTTTTTGGTAAATATGGAAATTACGATCGATAGTTCTAGAGTTTTAGCTCTCCAGAGAAACCTGGGGGTGAATCAGTATGAAGGTTAAGATGGCGAGTCTTGGCATTATTTTTCTAATAATTGACCAACCCATCCCTGCATCGCTAACAAAGATTCGGCAGATCAATAGCTGATAGAAGTGCAGTTTTTACGTCGCCACCAACGCCTCTACTCGCGTCAGGGAAAAAGAACCAGAACATGCAAGTGAGAAAGCAGGGATTATTTGTACGGAGTGGCGCTGAGCTGCCATACAAACTAGGCATTTGCATGTTCTGGTTCTTTATCCTAGACGCGAGTACATGTAGTCGAGATCCACAAGTAGAAGTATGTACTCGTAGATTCATGACGTTTCCGAACACGACTGCTATTGCATACCATACAAAAAAGCGCCAAATCCACCTTTTTTGTATGTCATGCAATATTGGTCGTGTTCGGAAACGCTATGAAGCTACGAGTACATTTATGCCTTGCACCCTCCACCTAAGCCACCAATGCCCATTATTGTGATTAACGGAGCAGTTTTAGAAGCCACATGCGCACGCCTTTATGCATCTCGTGTGGCTCTAGTGTCAAGCTGTTCTACAATTTTCTGACTTAATAGTGCGGTAGTAGTAGTTACGTAATGAGAATAGTAGTGACAGTGGGCTGGAGTCGAAGGTTGATCTAGTATGATCTCTTAGCCGGTTCTAAAGATTAGAAGGACAATTGCCGCCTGGCCTCGAAGTCCTTGTCTCGAGAGTCAAGAAAGAATGCCGAAAGCGGTTAATCCCGCTCACGATGAGAGTGTTGCTCCTAGTAGAAGAAACTCTTGGCCCCCAAAACTCCTCGGTTTAAGAATTAATTAAGTAGAGTTTTATGGGGAGTATTATATTGTGCCTACTCGGCTCACTATAGACTTTACCCTAATTAAGTGCATGTATTCACAGTGCAGATCGATAACTATGCGAAAATCACCCATCAGAGAGCTGCAGGGCATCCCGAGACCTTCGATGCAAAGTCACTTACCCGCTCTAGAAATTAGGCAGATGCCCAATTAATGAGGATGAGGTTACTCGAGGTATATATTACCATCTCTTTGTCTCGGGCAGCCCCGTGGGCAGACTACAGGACATAAGTTTGAATCGGTTCAGCTCATGGAGGATTAGTTAAGGGTTATATTAGAACTCGAGCTTTTGGCGGCGGGTTATGATAGCTTGAACATATGCTAGCTACGTAGTAAGTAGCGGGTTACATACCCGCCAAGGAGAATTTTTTCGACCTTTAATCACCATTAATCACTCGATTAGAGTTTTATCGTGAATGAGCCAAAATCTTTAGAGTCAACGCGATTCATGGACTGCACGAGCCCAACAACGATCCTAATTCTTATCTTGATTCCGACTACTGTAAGTGTACAAGTTCCTTCCAACCCACTGAAAGCAATGGTACCTATATCAGCAGCCCTCGGGTTGGCGTATCAACCTACCATGTAACTAAGTCAACATGATTATCATAGTTTAATTACATATCAACAACACGTTTCACTACTACATCGATGTTGTCCGGACAAGAGACTATATCCATAAGTCATGCGCAAAGACTGCACCCACCCCATTTCGCTTCACAAAAACAGCTTTTTAAGCAACCGGTAAACCTTCAATCACACCTTGCTCTTCGTTGATCGGACCCGACCCGATCCGGTAGGATGCTTTCCACCTCATCTTAACACCCCCGCCCGCACCCCTGGCAACTCCCTCTACACGTATTATCTGCGATACTCCGTCCTTTTGACGAGCCTGGAGAAAGCGACCACTCTGGGGTTGCATTTTGAGGGCCAATGTCTGAGAAGATTGGTGTTAGTATTATTGAAATGGCCTCTTCTTACCGGAATAGAAGTATACCTTAGTGACCGCCATTTGAAAGGTCAAATCTTGGACGGGCTGGCTGTTGTTGTTTGAGAATTTTGCCTTGATTAATATCGGCCCATCAGGCATTGTTACAGGCCTGTTCGCTTCTAGCAGAATATGTAAGTTTGAATTGAGGATTACAAGTTCATTCCGCGCAGGAGCCTGTTCTGATCCAGGCGGAAGAGCAGATGTGAAAGCCCATTCGTCGTCATCGTTAACAGTAGTACCATTTTGCTGCGATGTGGGTATCTGCGATGACGAGGAAATGGCAACAGGTTGCTGTGCAGGGCTTCCGAATGCAGAGGTATAATTAGGAAAGCTAGGTGGTGGTACTTTTTGAGCGGGCGGTGGTGCCGGAGAAGCAGATGGTGTAATCTGATTCTGTTGTCCGGCAGTGTTTGTTTGCACAGTCGTTGATAACAATGGGGGGCCCGGTATTCCTAAAGGGCGGATTGTATCAGATTTGGATATACCGGGGGTGGGACTTGATTGATATCTACTCACCAGTATTCGCGCCAAATCCAAGAGCAATTCCCCCACCCTGGCCGAATGGGCCACTTTCTTGGAAAGATAAACCTAGTAGGTCGTCTTCCAACGACCCAGTCTTCCCAGTTGTATTTGCTGAAGTTCCGCTGCCACCATTTAAATCATTGTCCAGATCAATCAAAGATGTTTCTACAGCTGCAGCAGAAGATGAGGCTTCTGAGAAGGGAGGAGGGGATGAGCCGGAGATGAGCGGCAATCCCTTTGCGGCATCCAAATTTCCCTTTTTAGTAAATGTGTATCGCTCCACAGTAGTATTGATGATGTCGTTAAGCTCCAAGAGCTTCACAACTGCGTCAGTATCGTCACTTTCCTCCTCAATCATTTTTTGTATCTTTGGCTGAGCTGTCTTGAGCGCACTCGCAAGCTCCTGGCATTCCATTTCCAATCAGATCCTCTTCTAAATAAATGATCATCAAAGAGAAGAAACGAACCTCAAAGGTATCCTGCTGTCCAATATTCTCACCCTTTTTAACTTTTCCTAGCATCTCTTCTAATAGCTTTGCCTTCTGTCGTAATTTACCAACTTCTTCTGCCGCCTTTGCTCGATAATCCGTTTTCGAAGCTAGGTCATACCCAGCCATGACTTTCATCAGTTGATTCGCCTCTTGCAGGTCAGCTGGCGTACCCCGTCGAATAAGTTCCTGCAATTTTGCGGACTGCGCAGCTCTTTCCTCCTCCTCCATCTCCTCTGCCGATTTCAAGCTCTATAAACAGGATCAGTTAGTCTCTCTGCTAAATTGCACATTCTCCGAGAAGAAAACTCCAAAATCTAAACTTTCATGACATACATCACTCGGGTTTAAAACAGCTGCATCCTCCCGTCTGACCTCCGGGAACACATATCCCTTGTAACTCAATAGCCTATGCATATCTCGGATGAATCCTAGATCCTCCTTGTATCGACTAGTCTGACATATCGTCCCCCTCCATTCCTCAATTGCCTCTAGAATTTTGAGTTGTACTCGAGTAGGTCGGGGTGGTGGCTTTTCTGGAAATCGCCGAACAAGTTCGTTTAAGAAATCTTTGGTTGAAATCTGCAGATGAAAGGGGTAACCGCAGTTTTTAACGCATATATCTAGGAGCTGTGCTAAATGTTAACATCCAAGCTAGAAGCGGGCAGATATTATGGCATACAGCAATTGCAAGAAGAGAAACATTGGGGTTTCGGTGGTTGATGTAGTTAACGATCGCTACTGCTGCTTCCCGAGGTCTATTGAGCTCCAAGAAGTTCCGGTTTTAGCTTTACAGGTTCTCCAACCAACACCAAACACGAAAGGAAACAAGGAAAGATGATGAGCTTACGCATTTCCTTTCTTCTGGTTAATCAGGTCGGCAATCTCCAGATTTAAGGCCAAATTTGGCTCGAAATTCACAGGGTCGCAAGCACTCTCTAAACAGATCGAAAATTAGAACTCCTGCACTATATCTGAGTTTGAACTTCAGATTCTGGTGACAAGTAGGGATTCATAGGGTTGGAAGGAACACACGTATAAACCGCTGAAGCTGGGAGGTGTTTGGTTCCATAGGGAATCCGCCGAATCGATCCCGAGCGGCCATCCTGGAAGATGCGTATTCCAGGTTGGAGTTAGTTATAAGCTCTAGATTTGGAGGTTAGTCGAATCGAGTCCGTCAAAAGATGCAAGAGAGACAGGCTCTCTGCAGAGGAATTGTGGTCGTTCCAGATGTATCAAATCACTGTTAGGGAGGATCAGTGCTAGGGAGGGGCTTGTGTTATGTTAGTCAGCCCGAGCTTCGTCAGCGTGATCTGCTTGCGGTTAAAGCGGCGACCTCCGAGCGAGTGATATTCTATGTTGGCTCTTCTAGCATTCTATCTAGTCTCGTGCCCAGAATGTGCGGACCCGGCACAGTCTGGTGTAATAGGTCTTTTTCGTTTGGTGACTTATTTTCTCGGAGATATTAGCGTCGGAGGGCTCTCGGGGGGGCTCTCAAGGAGGCTTTTCGGGGGTATTTTGTATGGGATTAGCACACCCCGAACTAGCGTAAAATTTGAACACTAGCGGAGGTTTTTTGAACTTTAAATATCTTCGGCGAACTTTAAATTTTTGCGAGTTTGCTATCTCTCCGAACCCTAGACTCCCCGAGAGCCCCCGGAGTCACTCGGACATTTCTCGGAGGAAGTTCCGAAAACTTATTACACCAGACTGTGCCCATGGTGTCACACATAACACAGTCTGGGAACGAGACTACATTCTATCCACCCTTGTTCCAACTGTATGTATTTCCGACTTAAAACCATCTATATTTGACCAATACACGTACAGCCGCGACCGCAAAGTTTTGGCACCCTGTAAAAACATCCACGATTACAGAAAACAAAATATTTCGGTCCCCTTGCTCGAAAGGTAACATTACAAAGTGTTGTGAGACACAGCAGTGTGGAAATATGTTACTGTAAATTTCTCTTTGCACTCGTTCTTATCTGATTTTTTATATCACGATTTGAACTCATGAACTTCGAGACTGAGGGTGCCAAAACTTTACGGACACGGCTGTACTTATAAGAACAAGCTATCTATTACATGTACTTAGGGGGTTAGCCCGGCGTTACAACCGCAAAGAGTGATTAATGACCTACGCGTGGGTGCGTATAAGTACACGTGATTAACCTGGTACTATGTGAAACTGGGAAATCGGCTGTTGGCATACAAACCTGGTTGTGAATAAATTTAGTTGTGATTAGGCCTAGGTCCGGCGGTGCTGGCCATGATATGGGTCAAATACGTTAGTATACTGGTAACAATGACCTTAGGAGGTGATTTGCCCTCCATTTATAGTTGTCCCTGCTGGGAGCTGGTTGCCCTTTCTTGTAGAGAGTGTGCTGAGAGTTCGTTTGTTGGATTCACACTTAATTAATCTAGTAGCTTCAAGCCTTCATCCATTAATCCTTATAAGGGTTAATTCACTATATCTATTAGTTCTTTAGTAGACTACAAGCCGCTTGTTACTATCGCCCTAGGGTACCAACTTTGTTAGGAATCGGGATAGGTTATCCTGTGGGAGGATAAGTTTGAGTCATTTGGGCGTTTTGGGATCCGAGTCCCCAAGCATCAAGTAGCTAAAATAGGAGATTTCGCTCTTATTTGGATAAACTATCCCCACAAAGGGATATAGTATCTTTACCATAGGATACTACTGTATTCGGGGATAGCTTATCTTTTCCCGTGTATATATATCCTTTTATGTTGATATAATCTAATATCCTCTGATAAGGATACAGATTTTCACATAGAATAAAGTGTTCTCCTGCTTGTAGTATTTCGCATCCCTAGCAATTTTGGACAGACAAATTCGGTTTTTTTTTTTTTTGGCTGTCGAATTTTAAAACTAAGGTTGATATTGGCAATTTGTACTAGTTTTGCATCTAAACCACTAGCATAGTCGGTAACACCCGAGTCTGCAAATCCAATCGCCAATGCCTAAGTTTGATTCCCCTGAATATTTTTTAAATCTAGGTTTTTGATGATATCCCTACGAAGGGTAAGGTATCCCTTACTAGTCAGAACATCCCCACCCTATGAAATATCTCTCCTTAACTGGGGATATCTTATCATATCCCGGTAAAAAAGGATAACTTATCCAGCAAATCGACGGGTAGTACCCGGGCCAATAGTTAAGATATCACATCCTACCTGAGAGGATTAGGCATCTCTCTACAGGAGGATATCATATCCCACTTCGGAGATGAAAACAGTATCCTGCCTTCGGGGATGAGTTATCCAGTACTTTGTACTCTAGCCTGAGGGTATCGCCGCTCTTGTTATTGCTATCACTCTTCTAGGTCTTGCCGTCAAGCTTTGCGGCCCGTCTTTCCTTCTTCCGGAAATCCTGATTTCCTGCTTCCGCCAATCTATGGCGCTGAAAAGCTTTAAAAAGCGGGGCTGAAGCTGCAAGCTATACAATATCAATGTTTTGATAAAAGGTACTTATGTAATTAGATTCAACTTACGTTTTATTGTTTTATCTATAAATTTAAATGGCACGTGAACTTCTTTAGTGTTTTTGATGGTGAAATCACGTAGAAGTTATATATATACCATTATAATTCATATATTACAATCAGTACTGTAGATTTGTGGCGTAGATATAAATACATGTAATTAAATTGAAACAATTTCCACACTACTTGACATACATGTATGTGTGTATGCCCTGACCGGCCATGATACGACCCGGCCGGTTTAAGTGTATTCAATCAATTGGATGTATTTAAGAATAAATTTCATAGAAGGTTCTTAGCTCTATACAAGTAAGTGATTATATGGTTATTATGGCCATCGAGCGCGAGACATGGGTCCGATTGTCATAAAACCTAGGTATGCGTGAGGTGGAGTGAATCGATCAAGGAAATACTCCTTAAACTTATTCCGGATCATGATCATAAGTGATCACTCAGCTGCTGGTCGATAATTCTCAGATATGTATGTCATACTGTACTCTATGTACTAGTAGTTAGTAAACCAGTTCAGCGGGCGGGGACTATTCATAGAATATTCTCTGGAATTATTGCAGGTCAGATGCTATGATTGGACCTTAATGTCTCACTTGCACAATGTTTCGGCGACTTACCTACGGAATTGGCCGATGAGAATCTCGGTCTCTCCCGTTCTACGTCATCAGCTGACTGCACGCAGGGACCGATTACATGCAAGAGGATAAGATAAGATCCTCAGTGCCCCCGTCTTCATCGTTAGTTATTCACACCTTTCAGCCCCAAAAACACAATACCTACTTCTCACTATGACTTCTATTGAAGAGCTTGCTGCCCAGTGGCTTTCGCTTGATAAAGTATAACTCTCCCATATGCCTCATGCATCGGTATATGACAGCTAATTTTTCTGTTTTAGAATGAGAAAACCAAAGCTGAAATACAATCACTCCTCGACGCAGGGAATACCGAAGAGTTGGAGAGAAGGCTCCGCAATCGTACGTAGCCCCTTTCGCGCTGTAGCACTAGTACTGGAATAATTTATGAGTTAATAAAACCCCTAAACGATAGGAATTGAGTTTGGCACAGCTGGTGAGATTTAAAGCTCTCTCCGGCCCATAAAACCCCCAAGCTCTACACATGACTAAACTGAAATCAGGGCTTAGAGCAAGAATGGAAGCCGGCTTCTCGCGTATGAACGACCTCACAGTTATTCAAGCATCACAAGGTCTTGCAGATTATATTAAAGAGCAGTCTAGCAGCCCTTCAGTTGTGATTGGCCATGATCATCGCAACAATAGCTCCCAATTCGCCCGTTTAGCTTCTACCGCGATGAAAAACAAGGGAGTTAAGGTAATAATTGTTTCCCGGGAAATTTTCCCAATATTATTAGCCCTTATTCATGGAAAATCAGGTCTATTTGTATGATGGATTGGTGCATACGCCACTCGTTCCCTTTGCTGTCAACATGTTGAATGCGACTGCGGGTGTCATGATCACTGCCTCCCACAACCCCGCAAAGGATAATGGGTACAAGGTATATTGGTCAAATGGTTGCCAGATCATCCCACCGCACGATAAAAACATAGCGCAACACATCGATAAGAACATACTCCCTCTAAGTTGGGACCTATATGAAACAACTAGCAGTGATGTAGATAGGACAGAGCTTTTGAAAAGGGCTAAGAGTTCTTACTTCGAATCATTAAAAGGCATAGCACATGTCAGCCAAAATGATACGGGCAGGAAACCCTTGAGATTTGTTTATACACCTATGCATGGTGTCGGACTAGCAGCCATGGAACGCGCAATTGCAGATATGGGATTGACGGAAAATATGTTTATAGTTCAAGAACAAGTCAGTGCCCCCCTCCCCCTCTTCCTCCCCACATCATTTCCCCTATCGGAAGAGCCTCTTTAGCTGTACCTGTACTCAAGTTACTCTATGAAGGCACAACCTGATCCCGAGTTTCCCACGGTCCGTTTCCCAAATCCAGAAGAAAAGGGGGCTTTAGACCTAGCGGTTACCACAGCAGAGAGGAATAATATCAATCTCGTTTTGGCTAGTGACCCGGACGCTGATCGCTTCGCTGCCGCTGAGAAACTTCCTTCCGGGGAATGGAAAGTATTTACTGGGAACCAACTTGGTGTACTCTTCGCCGCACACACCTTAGATGTCTATCGAAAAGCCGCGGTTGGCATTGACAAGCCGATATCAAAACTCGCCATGCTGGCATCTACAGTTTCCACTCAGATGCTACATGCCATGGCCGCTATGGAGGGCTTTTATTTCGAAGAAACACTTACTGGGTTTAAATGGCTTGGAAATCGAGCTTTATTACTCAAAGAAAAAGGATATACTGCGTTGTATGCTTTTGAAGAGGCAATAGGATACATGTTTTCCCCCGTGGTGTATGACAAGGACGGTATTGCCGCAGCAACCGTTTTCATCACAATGGCGCAGAAATGGGCCAATGAAGGCCTCACTGTGCATGTGAAACTCGAGCAACTATATAAAAAGTATGGGTACTTTGAAAGTGCAAACTCTTATTTTATCTCCCCTGATCCAAACTTGACAAAAAGTGTGTTTGCGGGAATACGGGATTTGGGCAACCCGTATCCTACAATGCTAGGAAACCGCAGGATAACTTGGTGGAGAGATTTAACAAATGGTTTTGATTCGGCCACCGTCGACAAGAAACCATTGTTGCCGGTAGACTCAAGCTCGCAGATGATCACCTGTGAGCTGGAAGGGAGTGTGAGATTTACTGTAAGAGGGTCCGGGACAGAGCCTAAGATTAAAAGTGAGATTGATATTCAATAACCACCCCCCATTTTTCTTCTCCTCTTCGTCGGGATTGCTGTGCTGACCGAAAGAATCATTAGTGTATATCGAGTGTAAAGCCAAAAGTCAAGAACTCGCAAGACAGGGGGCACAGGAGGTTTCAGAAGCTCTGACGAAAGAGTGGTTCAGGCCTATGGAAACCGGACTATTATTGCCATAGATTGGAGTTAGAGGTGCTGTATGACTTTGAGTGTCAATTCGTCAATCTCACTTTTCTGCTTCAGTTGTAAACGCGGGCCAAGCAAACCCTGCCTATAATCGTAAAGCGAAGGGATATGACAACCAAAATAATCAATACCCTAGATTCATATCCGAAGTCTCAACAATAAAAGAAAGCCGCCAGAACCCATAACTCATTGTCCTTTTTCATACATCATAAGGAAAAAGGAAACAAAACGGAACGTTCCTCAATATAGCAACATAAAAATCACTCCAGGTCCCAAACAAAGAAAGAAAATAAAAGAAAATGATATCGTCCGTCCCTTTACCAACTCCACATACAAAGCATCAAGTCTTTGGAAAATACATCAAGAACCGCTAGCATTTAGTGGGATGAATGTAACGGTGAAAATGGTGACTAGAGGTTTTCGGTAACCGTCGTTATGCTGTAGTGCTGACGGTGGCCGCTCGATGATGGATGACCTGTAGTCCAAAAGTTTCGCGTCTACATAACGTAGAGAAGCCTCGTATCTGTATCGACCCAACGCACGTTAAAAATTTCGTTCTTGACTCCAGCCGTATTTTCCCAAAAAAGAAAGCAAAAAGGATTAATAAAGGGGGTAATTGTGAAGGCAGAAAAAGATAAAAAAAAGTAGACAAAAAATATGCTCTGAGATCCACTCAACAAACATGAAGATATGAAAGAAAAAATAAGAAAACAAGAAATAAGATGATTTTTCCAAATATTGTTAAGGGGGAAAGGAATATTAAGAAATAAAGAAAATATCAAATAAAATTCAGAACTTGAACTCCATGTCAGACTCATCAAGGGGATGTCCGTCATTACCTAGTGGGTGACTGCAGCTGAGCTGCGGCTTTTGAGCGTATTTCCCGGCGAGCTCTTCTCTGATACTGGTCAATAATTGCTGGTAAGATTGTTGAGGGTTCTTGCTTAGAGCCCGAATAAATGCGTAGCTCATAGCACCAGTAGCCTCCCCAGCCTCAGTAGCATCCGCACTAAAAAATAACAAATTAGACAACCAATAATCCCCGGATGTGCGAGCGACTTACGAAGTTTGGCTATCCTTGGATCCGGACCATTGAATGACATCTGCAGGTGATGTCTTTGTTCTTTTTGCCCTCTCTTCGGCACCCCTACCACTTGTAGCTCTCTTGAAAATACCAAGAGCTGAAGAAGCAACACCGCTAAGATCACCTCTTGAATATGCTTGCAGGGCATCGAAAAGACCAGTCGCTGCTTCTTTCGCAAGGTTGGGCTCCTTCTCAACACCGCGAGTGGAGTACAGGTAAGGAAGGTCTAACGCAGATCCTGAGTGACAAGAGTCAAAGATTGCCGTCAGGCGGACACCAGGTTTGAGCGGCGCAACCCTGTTTAAGTCAGCATCTGTGGAAGAATGAATAGGCATCAAGTATGCCATACATTATTCTGTGCATCTCGTCGTCAACAATATGACCATTGAAACGGAAGTCTACTGGATAGATGGTTTCATCATATCCTATAGTCGGATTAGTAAATGCATGGAATGCCAAGACTGTGGATCGTTTCCATATCGGGAGTTTACTAACCATCACCCTCATCACCGTCGTGATCTTTGGTCTGCCCACCATGGCCTAGGTAGAGTGTTAGTGCTGCCGGATTGTCTTAGATACTATTAGGTGGACCTACCAGAGTAATGGAAAAATAGTGAGTCAGTTGGTTGTGCATCTTTGACTAGCCAATGCATAGCTTGAATAATATTCTGCTTTGTCGGTTGACTCCTAGGACTTTGTTGATCATCCGTCAAAATAACCATATCTTCACGCTTGTACTGGAACCTTTGATGCAAGAAAGTCGACATGTTCTTGACATCATTGATGCACCCTCTCAACTGTCCTCTCTGACCAAAGTAATTGATACCGATCAAGAGCGCCTTGCGCTTCCCCGTACACGGGCCATACTCGTACCCAATTTGCGACGCTCCAGGCACTCCAAAGGATTGTTGCCCAGAAGGTGGTGCTGGCGGTGCTCCTGCGCCCATGTGATGCTGCTGATAAACATTATTTCCAACAGGCATAGCTTAAAAGAGTCAAGTCAATTTTATGCCCACAAAAAAACCTTCCCAAAACATGTAAACCCAAGAGTTACAAACCAGGTTGCTGAGGGTAACCATGTCCGGCCCATTGTTGCTGAGGCTGATGCGGCTGAGACATACTAATGATCAGCCAAAATTCCCCTTGACTCGTCACTCTTAAAATAGGAAAATTACCGGTGCACTATTGTAAGGGTATTGTTGTGAAGCTTGCGGTGGGTAATATCCCTGGGGAGGAGGTTGAGGCGATCCTGCAGGGTAGTTACTGTATTGTGGTTGTTGTCCACTAACATAAGTAGAGATGTTAGCGACTCAGATGAAACAAGCATAGTTCGTAAAACATGGGGCAAAATGGATGACATACGGTGGGTATGAATATTGCTGCCCTGGGTACCCTGATTGTTGACCATAATTGCCGGGGTAATGACCAGACATGACGAGTAAAAATTATTGCAAAAGAAATATGAATAATGCAAAGTTCGGACGACTAGATCGGTGAAAGATATTCTGCGAGGGAAAGCTTTTTTCTAGATCTGAGAGGCTTGCTTTGAAGGCGGAATGTCGACTGATGCAGGTCAAGAGAAGGCTTTGAGGGCGGATCCGGTGGGAGCTTTATACAGACAGAGGTCGAAGGAGAGTGTACACGAAGCTAAGGAGTTCAGAGGAGAGAGACACACAGGCTTGGAAGATGGAGGGGTAGATTAGATTGGAAAGGTCGACAAACGGATAGATGGCAAAGGACACAGGTCCAGAGGAGGGAAAGAAGGAGGAGTGGTGTAGAGGAAGGAGAGGAAGGATCCAAGGCGGGAGAGAGGAAGGATGAGCAGTAGGAGCAGCAATAGCAACAGTTACACATGCACCTAGAGGTGGGGATCGCTTGCGTCGTTGGTGGTGGTGGGAGGTTTCAGTCGCAGAGCCTTTGCCGAGCCCTACGAAACCCAGGTCCAGCAGCTACCAACAACCTCTCCCATACATCACAGTCCCCGGAACAGCTAAAAAGAACAGCGCTGCTCGACACCCCCCCTAAGCTGCATCTCTTCTCTGTGCGTACAGTATGTAGGTACAATATCTGGTTCTCCACTTGCCGGGAGTTCAACGCTTTGGATGCATACATGTGTAGAGCAAACCTCCCAGTGTCACTGCTGAAACCTCCACCCTACCAAACTTAAAAAAAAAAAAAAAAAAACTCCCTCCTTGTATGTCCGTCATCATGGGCCTGTAGCCTATGTTTCGCTGCTACTGCATGCGTTCTGTACAGACGGGGGACTAGTCGACAACACGTTCAGCTGGTTACAACGACCAGTTGTTGCCTCCCGCAGACTGTCCAGCCGCACACTTATGTGCCTGGCTAGCTAGCTAGCCTTTCCTGGAGACACCGCCCCAACCTTCTGAGTAGAGGAGCCACACACAAGTTGCACAACTGTATAATTTCATCATCCCGAGCATTCACTATAGTGTAAAGTCAACCTCTTAACAACTACATATCCGAGAACAGCGGTGAGGCGGAGCTGAATCTGCACTCTGCCAGATCTGATCTTGGTGAAGCAGAAAGGGAAGAGGGAGCAATAATCGATATCTAATCGTCGGTTCCAAGTCCATGGGAACATGTTCCCCTGCACCCACGTCAATGTCAGGCTTCGGCTCGTTCATCGGAACCTTCAAGAACCAGCAAAGCTGGTTGTTTTGACGGGTAACGCCGAGGTAAAAAATAATCGTTAATCTGATACAGCAGTCAGCCTTTCAATTCTCCATACCCTCTCAGGGTTAGCCTAAGATCAGGTTCAGCTGAAGCAATATAATATTCTGCCCTAAAAAGCACGATCAACGTACACTGGTCAAATATTGTACAATAAACTTCGATAGTGTCTACCTACTTTTGGCCTTGCCCGCCGAGCCTCATTCGTTGATTGAGGTCTAGCGAGATCTCATTGTTCAAAATGGGATTTCCTAGACATCTTTGACCGCACAAGATGCGGTATATTCAAACAAGCTGAAGCTGAAGTGGATAATATACAACACCACTGGCTAAAGGAAAAGACACAAGATCGATGATTAAAAATTCCCCAACCTTATGGATAGAAACCCAACGGTCCGGCTCACACGCGAAAGTTCCAACCAGCTGCGAACTGACTTTTGAGATACCAAGCTTTTTTGGGTGGCGTTCCGTAGTAAATTCGGACTGGCTGAGGTGTCTCAGATAACGCAGCAAGCTCTCTCCTATGCTCTGCAGGAACAAAGATCGCCCGGACCTGGAATTCTTCTAGGTAATATTGTTTGATCATACTCAGGGAGTGAATATCACAATTCGCGTTTCTAATCCAGCATGATGATTGTGGTTTCCAGAATCCTATAGAAGAATGAATGCTTAGCACAAGCTATTTCCAGCTGATCATCATCTCAGGAACATGATGGTTCTTCCAACGAAAAACTTTCATGGTAGAACAAGCATTCAATTGGATCTTGATCTTTAATTGATGGATTATGTCCGGGGTAGACTTCCGGAAGATCCCAATGGCCTCTAAGCAATTAGGACAATGATCGTACAGGTTTAAATATGCGCAGTTATTATAGGAGTTCCAAAAGATAATTCTAATCCCCTCGGATGTTCTCCTTTTCTTCTTAGTATCTCCGATACTGTGTTTGGTTTCAATACTCCATTGTGCGAATGATCATTTCTTTCTTTCTTTTTCTGTTCTGTTTATCTGCAGTGCATGTCTGCCTTGCATGACAATCTTGGCTAACGTCGCCAATCCGACCAGGGTTTCTTTATTTTATTTTGGTCTCATTAGCTCACGACTTTATACCAAATTGCTATTCATATCAATACTTTAATGGGTTAAATATTTTTTATCCTTAGATGGGATGAGATTAAATTTCTTAACGTCGCGCATAATTCTAGATCTTGGCTATATCCGAAAAGTTGAATAACGTGATATGAATATTCTTTATATGAAAGATGTCAGGCCAGTGAAATAAATACATAACAGTCGTATATAATCTATATATTATATCTAATAATCGCGCCATATGGCCTCGTAGGGCATAAATAATCGCGAAACCGGCGTAGCGAGTGATACTGCATGAAGCGCTGTGCGTCTTTTGTCGCCACCGCACGGAGCCCATTATCCTCGACCAAGAAGCTACAAACCTAACCCAAGTAAGTTGCCTTGTCAAGTGGCGACTACTGGATTGGAGCTTTTGATTGAGCCGTTAACAAGATTACAAGGCTTAATCTTTAGTTTATGTGATCGTGTACGTGTGACAGAGCACTAAGGAATACATGTATGTAGCTACTCTACAGTACATCATTGTATTGACATGACACTTATCGCGACCAAACATGACGGAATTAGAACCCGGGCTAGAAATCTCGGGCACCGACAAGTGCTTCCTTGTATGCAAGACGGCGGAAGATTCTAACTCCTGTTGATCTATTCCCACATGGTTTCTACACAAGAGTCGAATACAACTGTACTGAACCCCAGCTTCGACATACATGTACATCATGTATCATGTATCGAGTAGCACCCTCCCCTCTAGTTCCTCTCCAAAGTTTAGGATCATTGATCGGCGACCATGATCTACGGGCCCACCAGTCTCAGTCCCCACAAAATTATCTTCAACCATCACGATATTTCTGACTACGACAGACTGGCCTATCAGAAGCATCTGTGGTGGCTGGATATCAACTGAGTAATTCTTAGCACAATGTCATCGATATCTAGAGCTCCGGACTACATATTTCAGTTCTCAGAAAAAAGGGATCTCCCGTCTCACGATTGTGGTCATACGCACGACATCCATGATCTTTTACTATCGCAAGTGATCTGAGATCGGTTGCTTTTTGGTCACATCGGTGGAAATGCCTCTAGACCCTGGTTCTACTGGAAAAATTGCTTTTATGTAAGATAGACCAATTGGCACAGTGTAATTCTAAATTGAGGCCTTGTTTTTGTAGTTTTTTTCTCGGCCGCCGTACCAGAGATCCGGAAGGAAACCACATGAACAAGGAACGGGGGTCAAAAATATCCCTGCTACTGTTAGATACATTCATGTACTTTCATTCTACATACCCGGGCTGCCGCGGACCTATTCTATGGACCATCTAGCTGGATGGAGCGATGGCTGCCATTAACCATTGCTAAGGAGCTCGGAGGTTTGCTGGGCAGGCCGAGAACCTCTATTTTCAGATTCATCGATGCTGATATTTCGGTGAACTTTGCCTTTGATTTGTTTGAAGTGATTCCAAAGGCGCTGATTATGGTGAAGTCATCACATAAGTGGGATTGTTCTTGTTTTATTTTCGGTGACATTGATTTTCTTGCTGTCGTGTACGAAAATGTTTGGGCCAAAAAAACCACCCAGATCTTCAGCTAAGACGTACACAAGCTTTACATAGACATCTTGGTCAACCTTCAAATGAATGGTCATCTGAAATACATGTCTGTAGCTTGTTGTTTCTTCCTTTTCATTTGCATCACTTCATAGTGTACCTCTGTGTGTGTTATTCCCAAAAGACAAACTAATCAAATTTGAAAATGGCACCGGGAATGTACCACGTTGCAGGGAAGCGCCAATACCAGAGCGTCGTACTCAGGGACGGGCTCTGGTGGTACACCGGAGGCCCTTACCAAATCCCTCTTTTCTTCGGAGTGTGGCTTCCTTGGGACCATACAAAGCCTCGGCCAAATAGCCTGGTCTTGTGTTGCTCTATTATGGGCCAGAGCTCTGGTTCTAGATCCCAGCAGACAAGCCAAAAGAACAGCAAGCGCGAAAACATGAAGTTTCTGGGCTTGAGAGTGCCTGTAATCCTAGACCGATCGTGATAGGAACAGGAGGAATAATGTGGGGGTTCTAACAAATCGAGAGACAGAGAGGAACGATGATGTCGAAGGGGTTGTTCAACATGACCGATGAGCATGAGCTGGCCGATGTGAATGCGACGAATACCGCATAATGGACACATCAGTAGGGTGATGGGAAGCAGAGCGATGAGAACTTTCAAAACCCTTTCTTGATGTTCGAGTAGCCACCTCGCTCGATCCTTGATTCCGAAACGTCCATACTTATTTCTCCCACTGCATGCTGCGCGCATGCCCCTGATTGTGAGGGCATTATTCATCTGCAGAAAGTATCATATACTCCTTTCCGATAGGGTAGCTGGGTAACATATATCTGCAACTATAGTCTGGGAAGACAAAAAATGACAATCTAAATTGTTGAGCAATCCGGTTTAGACGCCACCATGTTCCCCGAGGACTAGTCGTAGATATTTTGAGAAGGGTTTTTATTGTTGTTGTCGTAGGATTACGTGGAATGTATTGTAATAAACCGATTGACAGCTCACATGCTTCATTGAGGCATACGTGGGTGGGTCTGTTTCAAAGGATTCGTGAAAAACCACAGGGATTTGAGTTTTTCTTCTTTTTTGAGGGCGGGTGGCCCGACCGATGTTGGTATACTTGCAGCCATCTACACAGGAAGCTTGTAGAGAACAAGCGCCCCGAGTCTTTAGAGCCACTGGCGCCCAGATATCTTCAGTATGAAAAGGCTCCAGAACAACATGGACTCATATCAACTTGACTCTGTGCCATTTCACCAGCAAGCCAGATTACCCAGCAACAAAAGTGGCAGAAAAGACTTGAGATAAAGTGAATATGCTGGAGAATATGTGAAGGTGAATCTTGGTGAGTCTAGGCCAAGGCATCGGATCGGACCTCTCGATAAATCGAGGCTTCTGGTGCAAGAAGGCCTTGGTCCATTCGGATCACCGGTAGTGCCAGCCACTTGAGCAAGCCCATGCACACAAAACAAGAAAGCAACGCTCACTTACTAGAGATTGTATACGTATACAAATATGTCTATGCTTCACGTTAGCATCACTTCTGCACATTGACTCCTTAAGAGAACTACTAAAGAGCCATGAAAACAAAAAGGGCTATTTAGTATAGCGAAGATAGGCAGGAATCACGGGCCTCGATCTCGGAGAAGCTCAAAAGGATCAATTCTGAAAGATTTTCGCAATAAAAGTTCTTAGCCTGGGTTCAGGCCAGCTGGAGTTTGCGCGCTTCGTAGCTTCATCGATTCTCACTCGTCGTCGAAGTTCTCAGGACCTCTCGCACGCGGGTACAAGGGTCGGTGATGATAGAGTTAGCTGATGAGCTTGCTAGAACCTAGGAACTGACCACCTCATTGGTGTATTTTTTGTCGAAATGTTTTTCAATTTGAACCGTTCCCTTGGGTTTTTGGGAAAGCAATGGTCGGTTGGTCGACGCGAGCTCTTGGCAAGCTTCTTGCTATCTTAGCTTTATCTTATCGGGAGATCCGCGTGCATACTTACTGTAGTAAGAACTTTCAGCTACAAATAGACCATACATCTCGGAGGATTTTGTCTTCAAATCAATACATCAAAGGTCATAATGAGGTTGAAGACGAAAGAGGAGTTGCCGAGAGGTACCGGACGGGGCTTTGTCGGCAAGTCGCGTTGTACATTGCGTCGGGCATAGAGAAGTGATACACAGTGCGTGAGGACACCGAGCGAAAGCACTTGAACAAAGCTATTATCTTGATAGTTGTGATTTCCCCTTTATTTTCCAAAAATAGCTAGGGTAAAAGCCCCTGCACCAAATAGAATGCGCGCCCTGCGTCCTGTTCGGGACCTTGGAATTCTCCTTTCTCTAAATGGATGTGATCTTTAAGAGACTTCCATTTTTCGTAAACAACAGTTGCTGTCAGCCCATCATCCTTCAACGTGCATCAGATAGCCATTGATCCAGATATCTCCCCACCTTTAGACAAGTCACCGTTGTGAGATGTGCTGAATATCTGGAAGCTCAATATCACCACCACTCGTTAAACATTTAAGCTTCTAGAGCAAGGAGTTACATTCTCTCCTGTATTTTTTCCCCCTCCGGTTACCTTGATCCACCTTCTCCAGCCGATTTCCCGGAATTCCAACTCCTTTACCCCTGTTTCCCTGCTTAACACGTTGCCTATCATGGGACGGGCTGCCGATAGAATCCTCTCCCGACGACAGGTTGAAGGTTTGATTGCCGAAGGAAAAACAATCATAATTTTGGACAACGATGTCCTCCGTGTTGATGCCTGGTTGAAGTTCCATCCAGGAGGTGATAAAGCTATTTTACATATGGTCGGTCGGGATGCTACTGATGAAATTAACGCGTACGTGTTCCTAAATAACCTCCGGGCACCAAAGTTATAAATACTAATTTTTGAATAGTTTGCATTCCGCTGAAGCCCGGAATCGGATGAAAAACTTTGCAATTGGCAAGATTCAGGGGACCTGGACCAATTTCTTACCACCTTTACATGGTGGTGAGTTTCGGCCATATATCGAGGGCGAAGAAGATGAGGCAGACGAGTTCCAGGAGACGAGCGAGGAATTGTGTGAACCCGAGTGCCCGAGCACGCCGGCTCGCTCTGAATCACCAGCATCCATCTTCGATGATGATAGAAGCTTCCTTCGTGACCCTAGTGTCCTTCGTAGACGCCAAGGCTCCGCTGTTGCATCTTCATCGTCTTCAATAACTGAATTAAGTATTATTGATGAGTTCGGCCTCGACGAGCTCACCCGGAAAAACATTGAAGCCGATCTTGCGAAATACCCAGCTCTTGACCCTAAAACACAAGGGAAGATTGTTAGGGAATACCGGAAATTGGACCAGCGAATAAGAGCCGCAGGACTTTATAACTGCAACTACTTCAGATATATGAAGGAATTTGCTCGGTACTTGACATTCCTGTCAATCTCAATAGTTTGTCTGCATTCTGGGTGGTTCAAACTTTCCGCATTTTTCCTTGGGTTGTTCTGGCACCAGATTACCTTTGCCGCACATGATGCGGGCCATATGGGGATTACACATAATTTCCACCTTGACACTTGCTTCGGCATCTTTATTGCCGATTTTTGCGGTGGGCTCTCATTAGGATGGTGGAAAAGAAGTCACAATGTAAGAAATGCCTTGCTTTTTATAACAACGTAAAGCAATTCAATCACTAACATTATATCAGGTGCACCATATTGTTACCAATGACCCTGAACATGATCCGGATATTGAACATCTTCCGTTCTTTGCTGTTAGCCACCGTTTCTTTACTAGCTTGTTTTCAACATACTACGATCGAGTAATGCATTACGATGCTGCAGCGAGATTCTTGATTAGGTTCCAGAACTATTTGTACTACCCAGTCCTGTGTCTTGGGAGGTTTAATCTCTACCGCCTTTCCTGGGAATACCTTATTCTTGGACTAGGGCCGAGAAAGGGAGTTGCGGCATACCAGCGGTGGCTTGAAATTGCCGGAATGGTGGTATTTTGGTACTGGTTTGGCTACGGTCTAATCTACAACTCGCTACCAACAAACTGGGACCGTTTTGTATACATTATGATCAGCCACATTGTCACAATGCCTTTACACGTACAGATCACTTTATCACACTTTGCCATGTCTACTGCGGACCTGGGAGTGGGAGAAAGCTTTGCACAGAAGATGTTAAGAACTACCATGGATGTGGACTGCCCACGCTGGTTGGATTTCTTCCATGGAGGATTGCAGTTTCAGGTTTGTTCACAGGTATATCCCATTATACGGTAACTCAAGCTAACTATTTACTCTGATAGGCAATTCATCATCTTTTCCCCCGTATTCCTAGACACAATCTTCGTGATACTCAGAAGCTGGTTCTAGACTTTTGCAAAGAGACTGGGGTACCATATACGATTTACGGATTTTACGATGGTAATAAGGAAATTATCAGTCATCTAGGTGAAATCGGAAAACAAGCTGCGATTTTCGCCGACTGCCAAGCTGCCATTCTCAAGGGAGAGACTGGTCACTAAATAACGACTCTACATAATTTATTCTCGTCTATTCTATTTTCCTTGTATTCTGTGGCCGATGGTCTATTTTGTATTAACTCATGTCTGAATGTGTTAGTCCTGCTCAAAACCCTTTGCGCCCAGGCCGCAAAGGCTCAAAAGGATTTCTTCTAGATTTTATAATTTTTCGTCAAAGATATTTGTTAGACATTTTTTTAGACAAGCCTTGTATATAGCATTCAGCAATTACAGGTACATAAAGCTTCGCTGTTAGGCGCATGTATTCCATGTATTCTTTGTGCTCTTGGTTTATTACTCAGTCGCACGATCATCATCAAATGCTGTCAACTTTAATTGGACCGCCTCCGCAGTTTCATTCTCTCACAGATAATAGTTGCAACTTCTCAGCCCCAGGAGCTCAGACCCCTATGTGGCCCTGCATCTTCACCAGCTACCTAGAGGATGGGCCGAGGTCGAGCTAAGCTAGCGCGATAGTGGTAAGGCTGGGTTTCGCTGCGGATTTCCTTGTGTTCCAGAAACCTCAGCAGTCGTCCGGAATAGGAATTCTAGGAGCTACCCCACAATTGGTTGGACCCTTGTATCAACGACAACACACCTCCGAGAAGCCTAATGGTTGGGGGTTGCGCCCGGGAAAAAAGTAAATGTTTTCTTTTACTTAATCCAGAAGTTGTTTATCCATGACATCTATCACAGGAAGATATATGTATATCCGAAGGATGAGCTGAAAGAACCTTCTATGCAGTGCTTCTGTTGCACAGCATCACTGCTTCTGCATGCTTAAACTGCAACTGCATATCATCAAGGTTTACTCGATAGATCTTAGGCTGTGGCGATATAATTCAATGATAGACTCAGAAGTCATCGCTGATATACAGCTTGCGGTAAGATTATTGTAGAAATATGGGAGGAGTCCTATTGGCTTGCCCAGCCACAGAAACCCTGTTTTTAGACCCCTGTTTCTACAATAATTTTACCTCTCGCTGTATACACATACTTACATGATGTATGTAGCCCCAGCTGGCCGGCCGCTGGAACTATAGCTGAAGTTATCATGATATGGTCCGGGACTAATATATCGATGCCCAATCTTGCCATATATAGCAGTGTTACTACCAAAGAATAATCTTATAAACCTTTGTTTTTTAGATCTACCGATAGGTTCCGATTGATGGTTTCTAGTCGAGTAGGAAGTGAAGTTTTATCCTGTGAGATAATAGTATAGAGTTTGAGATCTCGGCTGATTTCTCCTATTTCATCCTCAAGGTCAGAGTGACTGGATCTAATTCTGAGTGCTTAAAACACATGGACTTATCTGATTGCAATGGTGCTGAGCTTCGACTTACCTAAGCTATAAAGTACATACATACGAGTGAGTTTCGAGTTCTTATCAGAGTTGGTTTAGTGTCCGGGGATTGCGATTAGCAATCCTTGTAGGTCTTGGAATAAAGTGATATCTACATGTATGTACTCTGAATTACTACCCCACACATTCAACACAATTGATATAGGGTCAGGGTTTCCTGGGAGAAGTTTTGTGTTTCTTTATCTTCGAAGTGGTGGTGGGGTGTAATAATATATTAGTGGATCAAGCTCGTTGCCAAGGCCACTAGCGCGAAAAGCTAGGCCCGCGACATAAACAAAAACAACGCCTATGCTCTCATAACTTCTTTCAACACACACCAACACAGCAATCCTCAGGCAGTCGACACGAAACGATTGCTTCTATAGACTTGAGGGAAGCCTCCAAAAAAGCTAGCGCATAGCGCACCTCTCAAGAAGAATCTCACTACACCATGGTTGCTCCCGGCATCGGAATCGATAGTCCTCGAACGGAGTTACCTTCAGATGGATCGATTGGTGACCTGGATCTGGGCTCCCGAATGGATTCCTTCCAATCGCCTGGCGGCGGAGGAGATGACCTTTTTAAAGCTAATAAGGGTGGCAGACGAAATCGTGCGAATATGACACCCGCGCGCCAGATCTTTGGGAGCATTGCCAATCGCGGAGGACCAAGCAAAAACGAGTTCACTCCACTACTAAAGAGTGTACAGAAATCGAACCTCCGCGCAAGAGTCGGTGATAACAAGGGGGTACCGCCGACCCCAGCATTTTTGAAAAATGGAAAACTGGATATAATGGATAGCCCGGCGCTGCCACATGGTGAGCGGAGCTCGTATGGCGGTGATGAATCAACATACCAGAGTCAAAATGACACTGTCCTAGGTCCGATGCCAGATTCTAGTATTAATTCAACACCGGTAGTCGTTTTACCAAGGAGGGGGGAGAATGCCGGTGTTTTGGAGCACGACGGACAGATGACACTAAGGGAACAAGAGAAGGTGTGTCATCCTTAACTTCGCCGCTTAAAAAAGGGTGGATTGCTAAAACACTCTTGAAATAGATAATCGATGAGATTAAGAAGGAAAATTTTGGGTTAAAGCTCAAGATTGTTTTTATGGAAGAACGACTGAAGAAACTAGGGCCTGAGCACAACGAGGAAGCCATTAAAGAAGTGAGACCAAGTTCTTTACAATGCCGATCAAATCTTTTTTTATTAATCATATTTTTTTCTCTTCCCTTGAACAGAACATAGAAATTAAAGTCGAACGAGCTACTCTTAAAGCTGAGCTTAAACGATATCGAAAATCCCTCAATGATTCCGAAAAAGCTATCACCGAGCTTCGTGAACAAATGATGTCGATTCAGGATAGCAAGCAGAAGGGCTACGACAACGGCAGACGGAGCGAGGAACGTGCAAGGGCTCTTCAGGAGATGTCGCAACAACTGGAGGAGAAGGATAAAGAGCTGCAGAAAAAAGAGAAAGAATTGGAGGCAAAAGAAAAGGAACTCGATGAAGTTTTGGATGAAAATGACCGACTCCGTGAGGAAGCTCAAGATTACAAGAAACAGGTGGACAACATGGAGGAGGAAGATGACGAGGAGGTACAGAAATTAAATAAGGAGCTAGAGAAGGTTGAAGAAGAGAAGGCTGAACTGGAAACTGAGATGAGAGAGAAAGATCGTCTTCTCGATGAGCGTGAAGCTGAGTTGGACGGTGTTGATGCCGAGCTCAAGGGCAAAGACCGTGAAATCCAAGAGCTAAAGAGTGATACCAAATCCTTGCAGGAAAGGCTTAAAGTAGTGGAGCAAGAGCTACAAGGTAAGCAGGGTGATAGGGATGAACAATTAGTAAAGAAAGACGAGGCACTCCGAAAAGCGGAGCAAAAAATAAGGGACTATGAAAAGGTATTACTCTTTAATCATATGACAATATGTATGTGGCTTCTAATAATATCCATCTTAGCTGGTTCGAGATCTTCAAAACAACATCGAAGACGAACAAACAGACAAATCTAGAGTTCTTCAAGAAAAGAAAAAAGTCCAGACTGAGAATGAACAAATTTGGAACAACCAGAAAAGGCTGGAGCATGAAAAGCAGAATCTTGAAGATGCCCTCGAAAAGCTTCGCGATGAGGCTCGTAACAAGAGTTTTGCCTATAAGGGTAGGATAGGCGAGCGTGAAAATCAGAGGGAGAATCTTAAAGGAGAATTGGAACAGCTTCGCCAAGAATACGATAGCTTACAAGCACTTCACCAAGAGAGGGCTGTGGAGACACAGCGCCTTAAGTCTAGGTTAGAGCAGCTAAATGGTGATTTTGATGGCGAATTTCAAACTCTTCAAACAGTATGTGCTATCTGAGGCCGCTAGTCTTATGTGCAATAAAACTGACAATTATAGGAACTTAATGATGTCAAGCGTCAAAGAGATACTATCAACAAGTCCCGCGTTGAGCTTGAAGGGAAGGTGCGAAAACTAGAATCAGATCTTCAGCTTGTTACCTCCGAGAAAGACACTATCGAAAGATCTCACCAGGAGCTAGAGCTAGAAATGCGTAAAGCTCGATCGGCTCGCAGTGAAATCGAGGTGGAGCTTCGTAAGGCTCAATCAAACATGCAGAGTCTAGCCATGGAAAAGGACTCCGCCATCAACAGTTCTCGTAGCGAACTCGAAAATGAACTTCGTAGAGTCCGGGCGTCTCGTAACGAACTTGAAGCGGCCCTCCGTAAAGCCCAATCAGATCTTCATGATGTACAGGCCGAGAAAGAGCTCATTCGTCAGCGTCATGACGCCTTGACAACAGAGTCAGAGGACTTTCAGAGGCAAGTTGATAAGCTGAGGAGCAACCTCCAGGAAGCAAACTTGACATTGCAAAGAGAAAGGCAGATGGCGGAAGCAAGTGAACAGTCCCTGAGACGGGAATGGGAGGAAGATAAGAGCAGCCTCAACGAAGAGCTCGAGGCGATGGACAGAGAGCTTTCAGAGAAGGAGAAGCAGCATGAACGTGCTATTTCCAACTGGCAATCCGAGAAGCGCCAGCTAGAGATCAGAATACAAAAGGCCGAGACCACTGCCGAAGATCTTAAGAGGACAATTGAGCAACTACAACAGGCTGAAAGTTCAACTCAAGGAAAGGAAACTAAGGTAAATTTCATTTCTGAATCTCATAATTGATACTAATTTAACATTGCATTTTAGTTGGTTAGTGCGCTGAAGTCTGAGAATGAAAGGCATAAGAAAGAAGAAGCAGGTCTCAACCAACAAATTCTCGAGCTCCAAGACGAGATTGAAGAAAGAAAGGCTGCTCTTGATGTCAAGATTGCCGAGCATAACGCTACCAAGGAGGAGCTCAGACTTTCAAGAAAAGCCGAGAGAGCCTTAGAGGAGAAAGTCAAATATCTGGACGATGAAGTGGAACTACTCAGCGCTCAACTCGACGAGGAGAAGGATAACGCAGACGAGGAAATCGATGCTGCAAAAGCTGAAGTGGAAACCCTTCGCCAGAAGCTCAATGCCACCAAGTTAGAGCTCAGTCGACTTGAGAATCAGCACGGCAAAGCCCGGTACGAGGCACAGGCAGTCAAGGGAGACCTTGAACTAGAGGTACAGACACAGAGAGCACTCAAGGAGGATATTCAAGACGCTACCAGGCGTCTCGAGAATGTGAAGAAAGAGAAGCAGCAACTTCAAGAGCAGCTTGCAAAGGCCCAAACTCAAACAAATACCCTCCGAGTTACAACCATGGAAATTGAAGCTGAGCGGGATGAATTGAAGAGCCAACTTCAACAAATATCACATAAGGCCGATTCCTCGAAGCATCTCGATCACGAGAAAGCGGAGTTAAGGAAGGCAAAGAGCAAAATTGAGATCGACCTCCAAAGGGCAAAAGATGAACGTGCAATTCTTGAGCAGCGAGCCAATGATCTAGAGGCAGATCTTCAAGATGCCATCGACACTGCCCAGGAACAAGAGATCAAACTCGAGAATCAAGTCCGAGAACTCAAGAGCCAACTGAAATCGCTTATGAGTGAACGTGAAAGCGAACGCCAAGCATCTCAGCGCGATATTTCCCGCCTTGAGGCCAGAATCGACGAACTTCTCAAACTGGACCGCCAAGATGGAGGCCTTGAGCTAGAATTGGAAACTCTTCGTGCCAGCTTATCGGATGCAAGGAAGCGGGAAAATGACTTTGTCCAAAAAGAGGCAGCGAGTAGGAAAACAATTCGTGAGCTCCGCCATCAAGTTGACCAGCTTGACCGCGAGTTGCTTGACAATAAGAACGCTGCTGTACTTCAGTCACCTCCCATGGGAAGCACGCCCCGTTCGGCCAGGAAGTCCGAGGTCGAAGAACTCAGGCGCCAAATTAGTGCTTGTCAAGAACAAATCCGGGAATACCGGTCCAAGGTTAAGACCCTGGAACGAAAGAACGGCGACCAGAAGGCTGCATACGAGCAACTTGAGATCGAGAAGTCTTTGCTAGATCAGGAAATCGCTGAAATCCGGGAAAGCAACGAGGCCATGGTTCGCAGGAATTTTGAAGTTGGTGGTACAGTTGGTGAACTCAGGAAGCGAATCCATACCTTGGAAAGAGAGTTACATAGTGCTAAACTGGATCAACACCTGAAGAGTTCAGAGGATACCAGAACTGCCCAGCAGCAGATTGCGGAGGAGCGGCAAGAACTTCATGAACATATTAAGACTGCAACACTGGAGATTGAGCAGTTGCAAGCACAAATGAACGCGCGAGACGAGGAAATACGCATTCGTCGCAAGAAGGAGAAGGAGCTTGATGCGCAAGTCAGGAACCTACGAAAGGAAAAGAGCCAACTTGACTCTATTTCTCAAGGAACCTCAGAAGACTTGAAGAAAGTCACTCGTCGTTATCAAAAAGCCGTTGAGAAGACAGCACAGCTGCAGGCTGCGTGGGATGAGGAGCGTAGGGCCATCAAGCAGCGGGTCCGGTTCTCAGAAAGCACCAGCAGGCGTGAAACAGCGCGGACAGATGCCGATGCCAAAACTCTCGAAACCCAGATTGGGCAGGCGGAGCTACGACACAGAGCTGAAATCAAGGGGCTGGCCAAGCAGATTCGCTATCTCCGGGCCAAGGTTGCCCGAGAAGCTGGGTTTAGAGCAGATTTGTCGTTCAGCAAGAATTTCTTTTTGATGCAGATCAACCTCTATAGCGCATGGTAAGTGATGTCGGCTGTAATCACACAAGAATTATCCGCTGACAGTTTATATTACAGCAACGAGGCAAATATGCAGTTGATTGAGCAGATGGGCATCTTCCCTGACCGGTATATACGCGAGAAGAGACCTTCATTGCGTTCAGTGGTGCATACACTCATTGCGGGGATCCGGATCAGGTTAGTTCTGACATTTCCCTTGTTTCTACTAAAGATAATGTACTAACTAGGTGAATAGTAAACTTCAACGGAGCTGGGCGGAGAGCAAAGAATTGAAGACTTCGTTGGCTAAATCACTGGAGCTAACCAGACGAGGGGCTGGTAAAACATAATGGAGGAGAAGGCGTTTAGGTTTAGGCTTTTAATGAAATTACTTGCATGATTTTTATTGGTTATGAATGCTTTGCGAGTTTGTAACATAACTGGTATGTCTTTTTAGGGGTGTTAATTGTTTTTCTTGTATTTGAATGGGTGGGTATTCTCTTGTATAGTATTCATGGGTCGAATTTATTGGGAGTTATTCTTGTCCCCAGGTTCTTGTTATCCATATCCAATATTTACAAAAGAAACGATATCAAATTACTACTACTACTCAGCTGTCCAATTGACTAGAGAATTCAAACATTTTATAAGATTTTTCCGCTCTTCCATTTCGTTGCTGTCCTCGGCTTGATGGTAATATGTCTCCACAATCTTGATGGTTGAGTAATAACACGAATACCTATATCAGACACTGAGGTTTAGCAAACAGGGCCCACCAACACAACAAAAAACACCGGACCAAGTGGAGAGAATCAACAGGCAGCCTTACATTAATAGCCGGCACCTCTTATTTCTTGTATCCAACACATCCTTCCCATATCCCTCCACAAACGCCGCCGAGGGCCCTCTAAACGCCGCAGACAATAACGGGTCAAACCAGCCCGCCCTCTCAAAATCGATAATACCCGTCACCTTCTTAGTCTGCGGATCCACCAACACACTCCCGTCCCCAAAGTCCAGAACCGCCAGTTGTGGCTGCACCACTTCATCGAGCGTATATGCCCATTTCCTAAACTGCTGCCGCAGCTGCTCGTAGGGCAGCAGTACCAGCATGTCCTCACCATCCCGTAGTATGGCCTCTGTCAATGCGAGAAAACACTCCCGCCATGAGGTGTAGAGTTTTGCTTTGTCCACGCCCCGACCAAAGCACTTTCTGTCGGCGGCGGGCGCATGCCCGAGCTGGTGCATGTGCTGGCCAACGGAATGGTCAATTGCATCGGACTCGGATTTTGACAGGGTGGGGCGGAGCTTATCGAGTGTTACGCCAGGAAGGTAGGTCATAAGGATGTAAGGGGAGTCGAGGATCTCACAGGTGTCATCGTATATGACTAGCTCAGGAACCGGTACAGAGCTTTTTTCACGTATCAGTTGTAGGGCCGAAGCTTCTGCTTCGAGAATGTAGTTTTCATAGCGCAGGACACGAACATCTGGTGGGGGTGCGATCTTGAGAACATATTTTGACCCGCCTTGGAGCTCTATTAGGTAGGAGGTGTTGTAAGCGCCGTCGAGGAGCTCGGTGATTGAGATTATGGGCTGGGAATTGCTGGGGAAGGCAGTATCAATGATTTTTTGGGCTTCTGACATGCTTTGCAGCCAGAAACTCTCGACGCTCTGGACCATGGTGGGGGAGATACAGGATCGATAGTAGAAAGATACCAATGGGTTTGGAATAAACAACTACATAATTTCACGGGCAGGCACAGAGAGATATCAAGGGGTATTTGTACAAAATGGAAAGCAGCATTGCATACGTGAAGCCAGTAAGTGGTTGAGTTGAGCTGAGATGGTGAGACCTTCCCTCCCTCTCCTCGTCCGTACGTGCTTGATGGCTTGCACCAAGAGAGAAAGAGAAAGAAAAAAATAAAATCGGAAATGAAAGGGAGAAAACGCCAATGATGCAGACAGAGAGGATAAGCTCCGGCACCAAAGTTTAGTCTATCGAACCAGGCAGGCGGGCCGCCCTCGAATTCGCCAAATTGTTCCTCATTCGGGAGCGGATGGCTTGGCCCGAGCCACCGTTTTAGCGATTTTGGCGAACTTTCGTGCAACGTTGCAGCGCCTAGGCGTTGTTGCGTAATAATAAAATAATAAGTAGACAGACACTGGGGCCCTACGCTGCTCCCAGCAAATGTATGTAGGCATGTAGCAAATGATTATTGATGTTCTCTCCCTCTATGGGCCTATGAGCCTATGAAGTAACCTGGCTGGCCGGCCCCCATATGCAATGTTTATATATGTTCATATTGATGCCAGGGAATAATAAATAACGGTTTGAAAGGATCTGAGAGGAGGAAAATCGTTAAAGTCCCAGTAGTAATCCGCCGTTTTGTATGTTTGTATGTTACACATCATTCTCCGCCCCCATTCTCATTATCTGCAATTTTCTGAGGACTTTTGCCTTTTCTCTCCGACGCTTCTGACGCTTCTGATGTTTCTGCAGCTGGTTTTTCTGCAACTGGTCCCTCTTTATCGCCGGTTTTTTTCTCGCCACTTTGCAGCTGACGGGACACTTGGAGGTTGTATTTTCCAAGTTTTTCAAAGTCCCTCACGACGCTCATTCCACAGATGTTCTGTGGCAGATATCACCCATTGGACATGGTTAGCGATAAATGTACTAGGGTACACAAACAATGGCAGGCTGCAGACGCGCCTTATCGCCTGTGTCGCCTACGGTAGCAATAGGAACAAGGGAAGCAGAGAGAAAGACCCACCTTGAAGATATCGACGAGGATTAGAACATCGTAGTTCTTGAGATCAACCTTGTGCTTCGGGCCCACAATATCTGCAACCTTCTTGATGATGTCGTCTCTGCTCATGACATTGTGGTTGCGAGAGGTAGGTCGGATGGCATACTAAAATCCCCGTAATGTTTCAATAAGCGAGCAAATCGGGGAGATACCGGCCTCCGCCACTCTCAAGAACAGATGAGCAAGCCGGTAGTGACGGAAGACGTACCTTGACCACCTCCTGTCCCTCCTCGTGGAAGTGAGGCTTGAGAACCTCCCTTGCGACCTCCTCAAGCCCTTCGGGGGTCGCTTTCCCGGTCCTTGAGATCGGCGTCAGCCGGTGTGTCCACATGCTCTGACTCTGGGCCTTGCCCGAGAGAAGTGCATGCACAATTTCCGTTGGCACACATGGTTCCTTTGTACGGAAAAACACAACTACATGACGGCCCCCGCCCGAAGTGTCAGCCAGTCAATATCACCGATAAGCGAGCGACCTTCCCCCCACCACCCCCGCCAAACGAAGAGGAGGGGGTGATGGATGATGAATCAGCTCCGGGGTCTGGATCAACTGACCACAGTCCAAGTCGAGCTTCACATTCAGAAAGAGCTTCTTCGACTTGTCACCCTTCTCCTTGAGGCCTGAGATCTCGCGCTGAATCGCGGCCTCAATGTCCTCCTCCTCCTCCTCCTCTTGGTCCTCATTATCTGCCCCCTTGGCTGGAGGATCAAGGCCATAAAGCTCTTTTGCACACTAATTATAGTGACGGTCAGCATCTTCCCCTCCTCCCTTCCTCCTTCAGAATGGACCTTTTCAAAGAGCCCATACAGCTCGCCCACACATTTCGGCTCACGCCCTCTCTCGCAAGTGGCGAAAATGCCCTGTATGCCTGGGTCGATCCCGGTGATGGACTGGAAGTTCTTTGACGCTTTCGACCAGTAGCCTTTGGTCTATGTACAGTAGGGTTTTTTTTCCGTCAGCCTCAATCACTTGAAGAGTAATAAAATATTTTAGGTTTGAGCTATGATTCAGGACACATGCCTTGTTCTTCTTATTTGACTCTGAGTCGTTGTGACGGCTTCTGCGCTTCTTGCTTTCGGACATCTTGAAGGTTGCTAGGTGTGGTTGAGGTTGGAAGAGGTCCGGTAATGGTAAGTTCCAACTATAGAGAATCCATGACGCGCTTCCGCTTCATCGTTCAAGGAAAATGGATGTGGAATCAATTGATTCCCTAGAAAACATTCTACTACTATCGTATGTACGATGTAAATCCTTTTACAAGAATTATGTTCTATTACTTGTGCATCACGAACCAAGTGTGGCCGCTGCTTAAATCAAAAGGAAAAAAAGTGTTAGGCTCGACCCCGGGTTTGAACCGGGGACCTCTCGCATATTAACTTAGGGTGTGACCCTAAGCGAGAATCATACCACTAGACCAGCCGAGCTTGCATACAAGTGAAATATTTCGGTTCATCACTGCATTTAATATCGAGTTGATATGAGTTCGATCGCTAGGTGTAATTCAATAGTCTAGTGTCCGGCCCTTGTGCATCAAAACCTTTTTCTAGCCAATTGACCTTGCGCATCGGGCGGCAAGAAACCGAGTGATTATTCATGACTTAAGAGTATCTAAACTATCACATCTTGGCACAACCCACTCAGTAAAGGGAAAAAAAAGTACGCCTGGTATTCTCAAATGGTATAATTAAACAACGTATGCAGAAAGACTAATCCCAAACAACAACAACAACAACAACAACAACAACAACAACAACTACACTTGCCCCCCTCAGTCAATTTCGGAGGCGGCATATCCACATCTTGTTGATGTCATACTTTAAAACCATTTCCCGGTGATACCTAGTACACGCGCAGAAGTTATTAACAATCTTTCATCACATCAAAGAGGAAAGGGGAGCATGAAATAGTCCAGATCGAACTTACTCCCAAGGATGGCTTTCTTCTTCTGTTGGTTGACGTATTTACCCACGTCGTCCGCGAAACTCGCCGATGTCTCTCCCAACTTATCCATACTATCACCTACGAGATTCAACTTCTCGGTTCGCTCCTGTATTGACCTGCTCATACTTGCGAATATGCCCTCCTCTTGCCTTCCGGAGCCACCGGCTTGGTTTCCGGCCCGTGCATCGAGGCGTGCTTGTTTCTCTTCGGCACGCATCTGCTCAATCATTTTCTTGGACATGGGACGGTCAGGGCCCCCGACTATGAGATCTCATTAGTCACCAAAGGGATATTACTCTAGTACGGGGGAATAACTTACTCAAGAGGTCAAGGTCTGCGGGCGTGACATGCTGTGTTCCAGAGATCCACTGAAAGTTTGAGATCGTTGGACGAGTCGGGACTGGGGCTTCGGGGTTGTAAAGCACATCTTTTGGTAAATGGTCGCTGTAAGTTTTGGTTAGTGACCCAAACACAGGATATAGATTTCCAAGGAGATAATACTAACAGTATTTGACCTTTACCCCACATATAAAGTAGCATACATTCTGCTTGCGAAGTCCACCCAAAGATGTATCCAGAATCAAGCAGAATTGTATCCGCTAGGCGTGACGGATCATAATAATCACTCAGCCTGACTTCGCCGATTTCCTTTAATCCAGGAATCGAAAAGCTCTTCACAACACCGGTATCCATCACACAACTCAAGCAGATACCGTGGGTATCGAGCTCTGCTACCACAGCGCTCAAGCACGAATACTCGTCCCAGCCTTTATGGGCACCCTTTGCAGTCGGTGGCTTGAATATTCTGGCTTCTGACTTTGTGACAGCAACCACTGTACCCGGAACTTTGATACCTTCCCGTAGATTCGCAACTGCCTGTTGAGAAGCATATGCACGTTTCCCAGAGTCTGAGTTGATGGGTATTATTGAAACAACAGATCCGTCCATGTGAGTCATGCCTACAAAAGTGCAAGTGAACCCTTGGCCCTGGGGAAGGATTTTGAAAGTTGCAATCCGGCCATGGGTGGATCCCACAAAAAGTGCAATGCTCGAAAATTCTATAATCTATTAGTTGGTTGGGTGGTGTGAGGCGCCATTAAAGCCACTCACCATCGCCTTCCAGTGTAAGGACTCCAAATTCCAAGCAGGTGGCCTTCTCGCCATCAATACTGTGATCCCGGCTCTTTCTAAAACTAGCCCTTTTACTTTCCTTTGTCAAGGAATTAAGGCTCCCATGGAATATTACAGCAGGCCCCTAGAATTTATGTTAGTATGAATATGTAACTAGAAATATTAGGCAGTTTAATATACCCTAAGATCTAGCACGCTGACATGCCCAGTCTGATATGCCACTGCCACGAACCCCACATCACTGCATTTCAGTTTTAGGATAGATCCGCAGTGTTGCTCTAGGGTACAAAGTGGTAGCAGGCCTTCCCTAACACTGGGGTCTGTTCTCATCTGAACATTCCGGATCCCTTCCACAATTGCGCCGGCTTCAGTCCTGCTCGCCGACTGTAAAGACTCGTCTTCCTTAGTACGCCCAAACCCCTTATTTATTCCCCATCTATAAATGACCACTTCGCCGGTTTCCATCCCAACAGCCATTTCTCCAGTCGCACCAGCCATTGAAACGCACTCAATTTTCAAGTCTACGCCCCTCTGTAGTACTTGTCCTAAATCCGCCTCCATCATATCTCTGTTTTCAATCTCATCTCCGAGGCCCAAATCCCATATTTTGACTGTTCCGTCAGTATGTGCAGTTTGCACAACTGTACGATTCTCATATCGCCTAAGCGGCTTGGGGTGCTCAATGCCGCCAATGATCATCTCTTTGGGCTTGTCGCGTTTCTCAATCATTCCAAGCCAGCGCTGACGGTTTATAGCTGATAAGTTGGCATATGTAGCAAACGGATGGCACAATGAAAGCGACGGATGAAGAATTGTAGCCGGTGATAGTGGCTGGCCATCAGGGAAACGTAATGTTGTCAATTCTCCGGATGAGAGCAAGGCGATGATAGCCATAGGATCATGAGACCCAGCGTAATGGGGACTTGTACGAGGAACAAGGCAAAAGTCGACTACATCCACATCAATAGGAGTCGGGAGACAGCGCTGGCGTCTAGGAGAGGCAAAATAATCTGATATAATTTGATACGATGAGGTGAGCATGTTTGGGGTCACTCCCAGATCCCACAAAGTCATGCCCTTCACAGGCATTGAAGATTGATTACCACCGGCTATGAGAATGCTAGTTTCATCGGGATTATTCGTGGAGCACCAGGCGACTTTGAACAAAGGTTGTCTGATAGAAACTACATCGCCATCGCCACCAGCACCAAACATATCTGCGCTGGGCGGTGTCCCGGGCAGATGAACGTACGAATCTGTGGTGGTTCTTGACTGCACGATTCTTCCATCTTTTGGATCCCAAATAGCCAAACATGAATCGTCATGAGTTGTGCAGACAAACGTACCCGTAGGATGCCAAAGCGCTTCCACGACGTTGGGTCGGCGCAGACTGTATATAGTGCCTCGCTCTGTATCTGCCCCGGGAGCTCCAGGTGGTAGTTCAAATTGAAGATAATGCAACACCTTCTCTTGTTTCATGGAAAAGATGACAGTACCCTCCAGATACCCAATTAGAAGAGTCCCCACATCACGAGGGTGTAGAGCTAATGATACAACTGGAAGAAATTTTGATTTCGGCGACCTTTCTCTCCAGAGATTTGGTATCCTAAATGGGGACAGAATCTCTCTGTCAAGATCATAAGTCACAATATCGCCATTTTCCAACCCTAGAAAAACCCAGTCCAGGGACGGGTCGGTCAAGATCGAGGTCACAGCTCCTGGTGGCGAATATCTGACCCCCTCAGCGCCTGGATCTCTCATATCATAGACGGAAAGTTCGCTCCTATTGTCGACAACTACGATCCTTGAATCACAGAGCTTCAGAAACTTGACACTCGACTTTCGCTGTAATGTGAAGGTGACATGAACTCGTTTCTGGCCGAAAACATGGATTTTCCCCGGCGAGGTGGTTGTTTCATTTGTGCCGACAGCAAAAAGAGACTGTATGGGGTCATACGCAAGAGCCGAGATTGTGGACCCGATGCCGTATTTTGCGACCTATGGGACGCGCGTATATTAGCAGAGGCTTGACACAGTTGGGTTAGAAAGTAGACTGAACCTCGTCAATGACAAATAAATCTGAAGCCGCAAGGCCTCCAGTGAAATCCCGTTGGATTCCAGCCTGTTTTGATCGTAAGAACTCCATTGCTGACTGTCAATCAGAGCCTCGGTGGTTTAGAGCTGTTAAAGAAGTAACTTGAGTTTGGGGGGGTCGTGGGGTTCGGCCCAAGCCTTGGCAGTGACGTACCCCGGCGCTTCGCTAATAGTTGCCAGCAAGATGTAGGGATCTTCAGCAGTCTCGAGAGATAAAGAAAGGCAGGAGTATTATAGCGTTTTTAACTGGTACAGTGTCAGACTTGGAAACGGTTCATTAGTATGAAACTTGGTTGTGAACAAATTTGTTGAACTTCAAGTAGAGAACAAACAGCGACTTGAAGTCAGGGTTAGGTCTGTTTCCTGCACGTGACCGAATCAGGTGGTATGACCGAGTGATTAGTTTAATTGAGCAATACGACCATCCAACTCTGGGTTGTTTTGGAGCTTGACGGATACATTTATTCAGTCGATTGTTTGCAACCCCACACCATTTTACTAGACCAACACCCATTTGCTAAGGTATATGTAGGTACATATATAGATCTAAACCCTCCCTCTTCGCCTTTACTAGTATTGACGGTATCTTGCCAGTACCTACATCTAACAGTCATGTTAACGTCAACCTCTTTCAATTTTAAAACCACAATTTGTGCCTCATGTAGGATGTATTTACTTGATCCCGTGCCCATCCCTTACGAGCAACAAACCACTCGCCATTAAAAGGCAGAGGACAAGTCACAAGCTTGGTACGTACCCAGCTACACACACCCCTTTCAAGCACCACCAAAAGCTCGGGATTAAAGTTCATGTAGCCTTTATAATTTACAGGGTGGGCACGGCGTGAGAGGAAAAAGTAAATATAAGAAAGTGTCTTCCCCGATCACCAAACAAAGTTGAATCCCATAACCGTCAGAATGAATCTCAATGTACCGGCCAGATTCATATCAGTGCTCGTCTACCCAATGTCAGGAGAGTCACCCACAGGCCTGGCTTGAGGAAAGTGATTCGGACTATGTTAAGCATGCACCATATTTCTTATCTCCTCCCCGCATAATTCAACATGCACCATATGATTAATCGGGGACGTGAAAATTATGTCCAACGCAAAAACTAGTGAGAATTGACATGGAGCTAACAACCAGGAGACCCAAAATCAGTAATGAAAACCGCTCCAACTTTGTGGAGGGTTAGGTTTAACTCGTTGCTAGCGCTGTGTCCATTATCACGGTATTCGAGTGACAGTGCGTGATTCTTGTTCGGTTACCATAACTTTACTTCATCAACCGACCTAGTCTCGTACCTAGCCCGTTACTTGTAGCAAGCTGCCATAGTACGAAGCATGGAAGTAGACGGGTTGGGGAAGAGCCTATAACCGACCTATACTATGGATTATATAGTCATCTGTGGGTAGGCCCCATAAGAGAGAGCAAAATTCTTTCGGCTTGAATACACCTACCAATTTAGGTGGGGCCACGAGCGAAAATCGACTGTCCGCCTTATAATCCAAGGTAGCAACCATGGCCATTGAAGCCCTTGTATCTTATGGTAAACACAAATCATTGAACAAAGCAAATAAACCCAATGAAGTTATTGGTATGGATGGATTTTAAATTCAACATCCAAAATGAAATCAAGAGGCACTGAGAAAATATTCTATATTCGTACCATACATGTAGTATACACTCACACATCTAGGCTTTGTTATGTACACGAACTCGCCTGACTGCTTTGTGTGTGGAAAACTTTTAAATGAACGGTTTTTTAATAAGTAGGTTTGGCGGCCTGTTTAGAAACAAATTCTACATAAAAGTACTGGGCCAAATCCATCAAACCAAAATAATTTTAACGCCGTATGAAAGAAGGGTGGGTATATGATTCGACCCTAATAATAAGAAAACATGATAGAAGACAGCCCCTGTTCCAAAAGCTAAGAAAACAAGATACCCCCAAACCAGACCGATAAAAGGAAACTGGTCTATTTTTTTATGATACTACAAAACAGACCAAAAGACCAGAAAATTCATACCAAACAAGCCTTTTCCAAACAAATTACCTAAATCTACCCAATCGTGTAAAAACATCATACGTACCCCATGGAGACATTAGACAAGTGAAAGGATAGGTGAGCGTTGATGCGGCAATTAAGCGGGAACATGCGCAGCTGCAGCGGGGTGGCTTCCGGAAGCCTCGCCAGGCTTTCCAGCAGCAGGGGCGTCGTCGACCATGGCGTCGTCGTCTTCGTCACCGCCCTCCTCCTCCTCATCCTCCTCGCCGCTGCTCTCAGCCTCGAGATCCTCAGAGCCATCGTCGGAGATCTCGTCGATGTCCTTTCCGGTGGCAATGGGACCGGCAGTGTCTTCGGCACCGCCCATCTCAACGTCCATCTCGTCGACAGCTTCGCTAGCCTCGCCCTCGCCCTCAACCTCGACCTCCTCTTCCTCAGCGCCATAGGTCTCGCCATCGTCCTCAGCATCATCAACGTCGGGCTGATCTGGGGGGAATTCTGGAGGGGCAGAATCTTCGGAATCCCTAAAAGGCGATAACTCTTATTAGCATCTGTATCGCAATTTTTTTTTTCTTTTTTTTTTTTTTTGGGGGGGGGGGGGGTCAAAGGGTTAAGAGATAAACTAACCACTTGATAGCAAATCTAGTAACCCTGGGCTTTTCTTCCAAAAGCTTCCTGACGATTCTATCGATCTGAACTTGCTTGGGTGGCTCGTTGATCAACTCCTCTGAGTCGTATTCGTTGCTGACATAGTATCCGACACGAACGAACTCGCGGCCATCGTAAGAACAGGTGAGAAGGACAACAGTAACCCCGAGAATCTCAGAGCTGGGAAGCTTAGCGAAATTGGGAGGCTCGGCTTCAAAGACGAACTTGTTGACACCAACTGGGATGGGGCCAACAAGGAGCGAATCGAGCTCCTGATCATGTTCGGTCCTACGATGCACAAGGATTGTAAGTTGGGGTTTTGAGGGAGATTACACATAGAAAAGTAGGGTAGCTTACGAGTTGGCAGATCCAACGTAGGTGAGCTTCCATTCAAGATCTGGTGACAACATATGTATCAGTAAAGACGAAGATGTAGATGTGTTTATCTACTGAAAAGGCGCAGAGAATTTTTTTTACCTTTTGTAAGACTTTCGAGACACTCAAATGTGATCTCGAATTGGTACTTGTCGGTGGCTTTGGCAGGGTTGTTGAGCACGTTGACTCCGAGAAGCGATACAACAGACATGATGAAAAGAGCTGTTCGGCGGGGTAAATTTGATGGTGGAGGTTGATAGATGATAGATTAAACCAAGGTACCTTGGTATGAGAGTGAGGACGGATGGAGGTGAGAAGGATGGGAGGGCGGGGAGGGATGTGGGGGAAGAGGACAGAATGTTATTTGAAGGGAGGGGAGTGAAACAGAAACGGCCAGGCAGACGAATCGCGCAAATGTTTTGATTCACGCGTTGGCGCAAAAGCAGGGGTTGTTGCGCAACCCCACTAGCGTTGCTTTAGGGAACGCTTTTCGCCAAAACATGCATAAATATCGCCCAAGCGTCTACTCTATCGAGAAATTACATGTCTCATTGGTTTTTACAGTGTAGAACGCATATCCGCTCAGAACAGATGGCGAGCACGCACGCACAGCCAGGTACGGTCTTGAATAGAACGAGCAAAGGAAGCTTGTAGCAAAACTCAATAGGCCCTTTGAACTGCAGGGGCGAAGTACACCAACGGCTACAATTCAAGATTCAGATCTAGAACTGTAGACATCTCTTAAGCCCAATTGCAACCACCAAAATTTCTCTTATTCCTGAATTTTTAGTCTCAGGTCTTGGCACTTTCGTGTGGTGGGCGTTATCAGAAATTCGTTGACACCTCCGTATGTATTTATTCTATGCCCTGCTTCCCGGTTCTCTGGCTGACGTTTCCAAACCCATTTTCAGAAATCTGATTATGTCATGGCTCAAATATGGTCCATGGTGGTCTTTGATATACACCATGGCCACGACTTCGCATTGACGCCTACATGTATCTCTTTAACCGTTTTTTATGCCTATTCCATTTCAACCTCTAAGACTTACCTTTAATGCCGGATAGAACTGGAATTACTGCAACCGGGAAATTTGTGCATTGATGGAAGGAAACAGATTTAACGGAAACTATGAACTAAAGAACCTTCTTGCACCCATCCTTCAGAGCGGAACCAAGCCCAGCTTCTTAGTAACCTGTACCAACACCCCATAGGGGGAAGCCAACATATCCCGGAGTGGCCGAACTCTGCCCCTCTAAGAGCTAAGAACCACATTTCAATACATATAGCGTACTCAAAGCTAGGACTAAGCCCAGAAGAAGCCACCAAGCCCGCATTAACCCCTCGCACAATTGCAACCCAGAAGCCACTTACTGCAGCTGGCCCTCTATATGGCACCATAGATTTGATTATGAACAGATATGTATACCCTTCCTAAGATAGCAATTGAAGGCAATATGTAGGGCCGGTGATAAAAAGTAGAGAGGGGGACACCAGTAATGAGCAAGTGTCAATCGAGAAGCCGAGATACATATAATTCAAGCTACGATTATGGGGCTAGAGATCAGATCGATACCACACCTAACCAAAACAATGAAGGGTAGGCAGCGCCCGGCTGCTTGGTAGGTGAGGAAGAAGGAACTGCATAGACTACAGTCGAGCCACTTCATAATATGTCGGAACATAAAGGCGCCTCCTTATGAGGATGGTCTCTCGATTTTAACTTGACTCCAAAGGTAGACAAGACACCTGGCAAATAAAGTGGACAAAATCACGATAAGTAGAGGTTCGGACACGAAGGCACGGGGTAGGAGGAGTCTAGAGATGTGGAATGGCATACATGTAGTTTCAGTGCACGCTCCATCCCGATATTAAACACGGATCTGAATTAGCTGTCTTAGCTTTCACAATCATCATCATAATCACTGTTTGCTCATAGCCTTACTCTTATCAGTCTTTGCCCCCTGATAGTTCTCAAAACCCCTTCCAGCAACGGATTCACGCTTTGTACGAAACAGCGACT